AAGGAATTCTTTCTTTTCCCCCATCAAGCTCTTGGTCTCCATTACACAGGTTTTCTTAGACGTAGCAGTTGTTTGCATTCTCACATGTACTACTCACTTTAGAACATCTACTTTGTGATCTACGGCAGGTGAGTAAACCAAGTAGAAATTTAATTGCAGAGTCCCACTCCTCTATCATACAGGGTGAAGTTACACACAGCCTGTGGGTCCCTTGTGACCTGTAATCATCAGGGAACAAAGTCATCTCTTTTGAAACCAGCCTGTGAAGTCTTTCTATACATCTGCTCTATTGTTTCATCTGGAGACTTTTAATTAGTGAACTATGCAACACATAAATCATGCAAAATATAATTGCCTGCAAATTATACCATATACTGAAATTAACGAACATGTAAGGAAGCTAGCTAGTTTAGATTTTCCCCTTTAATGTGAAATTTTAAGGCCTTCGGAAGCATTTGTTTCTGCTTTGGCAGTTTATGTACATGCAGAGTCACCAAAATTCCCTCACATGTCTTATATGTAGTAAGTTGTCTGTACGATTTAGTTGAACCCTTCTGTTTACTCCAGACTGAGTATCTCTCATTGTGTGCTATGGTTTGAGTATATTTCCCTAATACACATGGTGAAACTTAATTGCCACTATACTAGAAAGCATTATGCAAGCAGCCAAGGGAAAGATGCAATCAACAATCCTACCCAGTTGTGATGCCTATGAACCACAACACTGGTCAGCATGCAAAGGCACACCTAAATGTGCAGTAGTGGTGCTCACGTTTTGGTGGAACCAACAGCTAATTGGACTTAAGATCCTCAACAGAAGGGAAAACATGCTTGGTATTAGAAGGCTAGTCAAGCACCCAGTGCTGGTGAGTCCGTGTATCTTAAGAGATCCTACTACCTCATCAGTAGATGAGCATAATTCCTAACTCCATTACAAAATATCGTTATATCTCAAGTAAAGTATAATTACCCCTCATCAAAGAAGCTTCCCTTTATAGGAGACATCACAGAAAACCACACCCAGGCATACTGCAGAGATGAACTATCATGGGGAGCTCAGTCCCACTGGAAACATCTACAATACAAAAGTCCTGCCCCAAAGGCAGAAAACATCATGGAAGAGGGGAAAGATTATGAGAGCCAGGGGGCCAGGAAGTCTGACGTGAGGCTGTGTCTCCTAAAAATGGCTGAGCCGACAGGGCCTGACCTATTGATAGCCATGTTAATGTGGAAAGGGGAAAATCTCATGGGGTCCAAACCCTAGATAAATATCTACAGGCAACTAATGACTACTGAGAGAGAGAGAATTAGCTTTTCCAGAGGTAAGACCCCCCAACTGTTTATCAAATACAAACTGGTTAGCCCTGAAATTAGATAGACATAAACAACAGAAACAGACTCAGCAAGTTGAATTTATATGTTTATGCATATATGTATGTATAATGCACAGATACATATACAATTGATATGTAACTACATGGATATTTTGTTTATAAACTAACAAATAAAACTTGCCTGAAGATCAGAGTGCAGAGCTAAGCCCCTGGTTTGCTGTAGAGGCCAGGCAGTGGTGGCATACACCTTTAATCCTAGCACTCGAGAGACAGAGGCAGACTGATCTCTGTGAGTTCCAGGCCACCCTGGGCTTCAAGAGATTTAATCTGTCTAAAAGAGAAACAGAGCTCACACAAAGATGATTCTAGCACTTGGGATCATAGGCCTTTAATCCCAGCACTAGGGAGGTGGAGACAGGAGTGATATGGCTGGGCAGAGATAGGAATATAAGGCAGGAGGAGACAAGAGCTCAAACACAGTCTTAGGATTCAGTCTGAGATGCATTCTGAGGATCACTGGTAGAGAGGTAAGAACTCTAATGACTGGCCAAACTGCTTCTTTAATCCTTCAGCTTCCACTTCTGATAGCTGACTCCAAGTTTTTATTTTTAAGAACAATTAGAATTCATGCCACATGTAACAATCAAAGAAAAAGAGGCCGTCAATCTTAGAGGAAGGGAAGGATACTTGGAAGGCGTTAGAGGGAAGAAGTGGAGGGGAGAAGTAATATATTTGTATTTTAATTAAATATATTTAAAGAAAAAATAACATTTTTAAAAGGTGGAACACTTAAGAGAATAGTCAAGGAGAGTGAAATGCTAGTGAATGGGATTCCGCAATCAGAACTGTGAAAAATGTCTGTTCTTCTTAAATACCAGCAATTTGTTACAGCAGCACGGATAGAAGAAGACATGAAACCTCAGGGAGCCATGACTTGGTCCCTTGTGGCTCATAGTCTTCCGGAGGTATCCCTGAGGGAGGAGAGGACTAGGTGAGAGCCTTCCTAGGGTGTTGCCCATTTCTCTTCATTTGATCCCCGACATCATCTTTGCTTCGTGATTCCTATTAGTCCTTGCAGCAAATGCTGCTACACTCTAAGGCGTGGTTCTTAACCTTTCTAACACTGTGACCCTTTAATACGGTTCCTCATATTGTGGTGACCCACATGCATAAAATTATTTTTGTTGCTACTTCATAACTGCCATTTTGTTACTGCGATGAATTATGATGTAAATACCTGTGTTTTCCAATGGCCTTAGTGACACCTGTGAAAAGGTCATTCTACCCTCCAAAGGTCAAAACTCACAGGTTGAAAATCAGTGCTCTAAGGTATCTACAGAAGAGCTGCTGCTGCAAGAAGAAGCTACTTGTTGAGTTAGCTCTGTGCGCCACACACAGTCACTGATGGTAGGAAGCTGGGCAACAACATCCTCATTATAGAGGAACTCAGCTCAGAAAGGAGGTATAACTGCCAAGTCCTGAATGAAATATGGTCCACTGTGAATTCTGCCTCATGGTGGGAGAATATTGGAGGGTGAAAAATATTTTTTTCCATTTGATACTTTCCCTTTTCTTTTATTGGTGCCTATGTACACATGTGCAGATACATATGCATGTTTGGATGTATGTGATGCAGGTTTGTGTTGTGGGTACTGCTGTGGGACAATGGTTTTACCCTATTAGGATTTGTTTCTTGTATTTGCTTAATAAAATCCTCATTGGCCAGTAGCCAGGCAGGAAGTATAGGTGGGGCAATGAGAACAGAAGAATTCTGGGAAGACTCAGTCTGCAGTCTTCACCCAGACACAGAGGAAGTCAGACAAAGAGCAAGCACAAGCAAGATGTAACTGCCTCGCTGAAAAAGGTACCAAGTCAAGTGGCTAACATAGACAAGAATTACAGGCTAATATAAGTTACAAGAGTTAGTAAGAAGCCTGAGCTAATAGGCCAATCCGTTTATAATTAATGTACAGAATTAAAGGACAGAAAACTCGGTCAACAGTGTACATATGCACAAGCATGTGTGTGTTTGTGTTCATAAGTGTACACTCACATATATACATTAACATTTGGAAACCAGAGGTTAACTTCTGATTTCAATCTTCAGAAGCTGCCCTCCTTATTTGGTAGCACAGGGATATTGGACTCACTGATTAGGCCAGACTGGCTGGTCAGTGAGCCCTAGAGATCCACCTATGTCTACCTGCATTGCACTGATATTACAAGCATGCATAATGCCCAACTTGTTGTGGTCCCTATGTTTGTGCAGCCAGCACTGTACTGACTGTACTATCTCTCAAACAATTCTTTCCATTGTTTCCAAATGAAAACAATGCATGTATGTGTTGAGAAAACATATGAAACGATACAAAAAGGTATATAAAAGGAGTCCACTTCCGTGGCCAGCTGTGTTGACAACAATTGTAAATGGCAAATTATTGCTACAGTTATAAAGACTAAGAACTGTATTCAAGACCATTAAAGGAGACCTACCACATACAAAACAACAACAGAACACCACCAAAAAATTCAGTTAACTCAATCAAGTTTTTATTTCCCTGTATCCAGTCCCAATGGTTTCCCGCATTCCTTGGGCTTGTTTTCCAGGAAGCTTTAAGACTTCAACAATCATAGCCAATGCTTCGGCTTTTTATCTCACACTAATCAAAGTCTCTTTTACAGTCTGGTTTTGCTAATGACTATCCCAGAGAATTGTTCGTTTTGCAATGATTCAAATCAAGACTTATATGTGTCCAGTTCCTCAAACCAAAGTCCCAGAAAAAAAGATATAATATAAATCATTATAGCAATTACTCTCTATCTAAGCGGCATTCAATGTAATCTTTCCAGTAATCTTCTTTGAAAACATTTATGCTAGTATATCTCATTTTAAATGTTAGGAGAGTTGGTGTGTTGCTTTTCCATTATGCAAATAAGTAAAGCCTATGCTAAGACATAAATGATACAATTGTCCCACCTCTGAACTTGACTGTCACACAAAATTGTGATAATGTTTAATTATTTTTGTAATTTATGAGAAAAAATGATAGGAATACTTCTCTGTACATTGCTAATTTCTAAATCTACTGATGTACTAACTAATAGACTCCTCCCATACAGTATTCAGGGCACAGCATTGACCCAAGTAAAACTAGTCATTGACAAGTTCATGTATCCCAGATGTTATTTCAGTCCTTCCCAGTCTCAGTGTTCCTAGATTGGGAATGTCAAGTGATAAAATTGTCTCTTAGATGGAATAGGTGCTAATACTGGCTCTATTCTTAGCCACCTAGCTGTTTATGTGGGTACTGGGGACCAAACTCAGGGCCATACACTTGCTCCAGGAGAAATTTACCTATCCAGTTACCTCCCCAGCCTCCAAGTAAAAAAAAAAAAAAAAAAAAAAAAAAAAAAAAAAAAAAAAGCATGTAAAAGGGTCCTGATCAAGACGACTTAATTTATCAAACAGAAACAGAATACTCAGGTAAATTTGAGTCTCAGATAAAAATTATTTTGTGGGCTACTCTACCTAAAAAAAAAGTTGTTGTTCACTTGAAATTCACCTTTAACAGGAAATCTTACATTTTCCCCCACTAGAAGAGTGAGTGACAGGTAATGGCAATGCCACTTTCAGCCTGAAGGCTTAGGTCCGCTACACCGACCTACCTGGCCCCGCCCGCCACGCCACGCCCTGCCCGGGAGCCCAGCTCGCCGCCGGAAGCTCCGCCCGCCGCCGGAAGCGCCGGTGGGCGGAGGTCGGGCTTTGCTGTCCCTGCTGCCCCGTCCACCCCGGGGTCCACCGTCTGACCAGAGCTGGCTTTCCCGGGAGGTCAGGCCGAGTACCGGGCCTGCGTCCCCCGCGGGCGGCCCAGCGCCAGGGCCGGGTCCCGGGCTGCCCTCGCCCGCTTCCCGCTTGCTGGGGGCAGCGGCGGCCGCTGGACACCGGTGCGGGCGCCACAGCACCGCAGACCTTGCCTCTCCCGCTCGTCCAGGCGCCGGGGTGGCGGGCCGACCCCTGGGCGGTCGGGGCCGACGACCGCCATTCCCGTGTCGCTCCGCCCGCGAGGGCCGCCCGAGCCGGCCGCCATGCCGCTGGGCCTGAAGCCCACCTGCAGCGTGTGCAAGACCACGTCGTCCTCCATGTGGAAGAAGAGTCCGCAGGGCGACATCCTCTGTCACCACTGCACGGGCCGGGGCGGCGGGGGCGTCGGCGCGGGGGCGGCGGGCGGGACCGGGGTCGCCGGCGCCTTCGGCTCGGCCACCCTGGCCAGCACTTCGGCCGGCCCTCCGCAGAGCAACGGCGGCGGGGGCGGCAAGCAGGTGAGCTCCCGCCCCTCTGCCCGCACTGCCCGCACTGCCCGCTCGACTGGACGGTGCGTGACAAGTCAGCAGCGCGCTGTGCCGTAGGCCGCAGGGTTGTGGGCCAGGGCCTCTTGCTTGTTAAATGCTTGTCATTATGTTATTAATCAATTATTAGGTCGTTTAAAATGAAAGCATTAGAATTCTGTTGTGAGATATGTGGCAAACTTCTGGGGTGGCGGGGCCTCGGTATTTTTGCTATGCGATAGTCCCTTCCCGCTTTGGCCTCCACCCACTCCTGTCCTTTTCTCTCTGGTAAGCAGCGCCACCTCTTGGGAGGTCCTTCAGAGGTTTTACTCATCTTTGCCTTCAGATTTTAAAAGTATTTTTGACAAAGTGCATCCTTTGATCTTCGTGAAATTATTATATTGGCTCTTCTTGAATAGTTTTAATTATTTTTTTTCTCAAAATTATGTAACAGAGTAAGCAAGAAATTCACAGAAGATCTGCTCGGCTCAGAAACACCAAATACAAATCTGCTCCAGCTGCTGAGAAGAAAGTTTCCACTAAAGGAAAAGGGAGAAGGCATATTTTTAAATTAAAAAACGTAAGATGATTGTGGATGGTGTGTTTACTGTAGGACATTGTGTGTGGTGTGCTTTGCCGCTGCTTTCTCTATTCCTCGTTGAACATGGGCCCTTCTGCAATATTCTGGGGCAGCAAAGGTGAGATTCTCCAAAAGATGAACTCTGTTTAAGAAGCCTGCTATTTATAACATTAGAAAAGCACTTTCTCTGTTTTTTCCAGCTTTTACTTTTTCATCTGGAAAATAAAAATATAAAATATAAGTCTAAGAAATACTGTGTAGTTTATCTCACAGTATATCAATTTGTCTCATTCTCTATGCAAAAAAAAGAGATTAAAATTCTTTTTTAATATATTAAATTACGTTATGACTCTTGCTGCATAGTTAACTAAGAAAACTTTTTTCTGTCTTTTAAAGAGCTAAGCAAATAACAGAATTCATCAGTACCATGCTTGTTATAATAGCCCTAGAAAACTTATCCGTTGGTTCGTGATGAACTTGGTGGATATGAATTCAAATATTTTTCTTTTCTTTTTAAAAAGATTTTATTTATTTATTATATATAGTGTTCTGTCTGCATGTATGTTTGCATGCCAGAAGAGGACAGCAGATCTCATTATAGATGGCTGTTTGCCACCATATGATTGCTGGGGATTGAACTCAGAACTTCTGGAAAGCCAGTCAGTGCTCTTAACTGCAGAGCCATCTCTTCGGTCTCCAGTTTTTTTTTCTTACCCTGATGTATGCAGATTGTTTAAAGTCGCACGCTAGGGGCGTTTGTTGTGCTGGTTTATTTCTGTACATAGGAGGTAATTGTAGGTTTGGTTTAATCTCAGTTTGGTATTACTTTCAGAACAAGTATGCTTCATGTAGCAGTAAACACATTACTAAAGTAGACATATTTATAAAACAGAGGGGCCTGGCCGGGCCGTGGTGGCACATGCCTTTAATCCCAGCACTCGGGAGGCAGAGGCAGGCGTATCTCTGTGAGTTCGAGACCAGCCTGGTCTACAGAGCCAGTGCCAGGACAGGCTCCAAAGCCACAGAGAAACCCTGTCTCGAAAACCCCCCCCCAAAAAAAAACAGAGGGGCCTGCACTGTAGACTCTTGTTTAGATATTTATTTTTATTCTGTGTGTATGAATGCTTTGCTTGCATATATATACCAAGTACCCTCAGAGGCTAGCATCAGATCCCTTGGCCCTAGAGTTATAGATAGTTGTAGTGTGAGCTACCATTGGGGTGCTAGGGACTGAACCTAGGTCCTCTGCAAGAGCAGCAAGTACTTAAGCACTGAGCCTTCTTTCCAGGCCTGCATATGCATGCAGGTGTATATGCCATGGTACATATCTGGAGATCAGAGGACAGATTTCAGGAGCTGGTTCACTCCTTCCTTCCGCTGGATTCTAGTGTCCACCTCAGGATGTCAGGCTTGCAAGGGCAAATGCTGATGCACCAGCTCTCAGCCAGTGACTGTTTTCTTAATCAGAATAATGGCTTTTATAGTCTTAAGATTTATATAATTTAGTTTTCTAAAACTAAGTTTTTTTTGAGTAGTCAAAACATGTTAACATGTACCAGATATATTTTCTTTGTAAGTATTCAGCCTTTGTTCTCAAGCTATTTCATCATTAATTTATCTGCATCTTCATTCTTCAAGAATGACACAAAATCGTGGGAGAGATCATTTTTTGTGTTGTGGTGAAATTTGCATTGCAGTTTTAAAAAGGTATTTTAGTGATAGTGCAATGTAGCAAATTGCTAAGAACGCCAAAGAGTTAAGGCTTGTAACAAAATTAAAAATTTTCATTTTATATTCATCTATACATATTTATAATTTCCGCCCTGTTGTGCCAGTGTGTCTCTATAATTGTAATGTTAATGTCTACTAAAACTCTGAAAGAGCTCTCTGTTAGCTTTTAGCAGCATAATCAGAAATTTTACCTCTTCAGCACCTTTTAAATCATTAGTAACAAAGAGTTGGAAGTATTCAGCTGCTTCTTATCAACATTCAGGAAGTCTTTTTCTTCTTGTGTGCAAGTATGTGTGTGTGTGTACACACTCTTAGTATATAACCCAGACTGGTTTAGAGCTCGCCATCCTTCTGCAGCAGGTTTCCAAGTACTAGGATTGCATATGTACCCTCACCCCTGTCAGAAATTTCTCCTGCTGTTTCTGTCACCAAATGACAGTGTTTTATTTTTCCCAAATAACCCAGTTCTCATATGGTTGGGGAACTGCCCATGCATGCTATATAGATACACAAATATTTTTACTTTTGTTTTCTTTTAGCCTATCAAAGCTCCTGAGTCTGTCTCAACCATAATTACTGCAGAATCAATCTTCTACAAGGTAAGCTGCTGTGGCGTTACTGAGAAAGCAGTTGGGCCTGGTGTACAACATGCTGCTAAGATACTGGCTTAGTGGGAACATCTCTGTTACTTTGTGTGTGCAGAAGATGTGGTTACCCTTTTAGTTCCTTCCAGGTAGCTGTGGTAGAACACCTCATCTGAAACTCAGGTAGGAGGGGATGTTGCCTATGAGAATATGATATGAAGTTGCTAAGAATTGTTCTTAAAATGCTAGTGGAGTTGTGTAAGAGCGAGTCATCCTATCCAAAGTGAAGGCATCGACAGGTGAGAAGGGCAAAGGTAGGTTATGAATGAATAGACGATGTTGACCATGCTGCCTGGTGGGTAGAGCAGGTTAGGGATTCTGAAATACCTTAAAACAGAAGCAAGAGAAAATAAAGGTAGAGACACCAGGTCTTCTGTGTATACATGTATGCTTGTTAGCTTGGTGTTTGGTTTTGGTCTCTTGGAGATAAATGGAAGGGGAGTGGATCTAGGGGACAGGTGAGATGCCAGGGGAACTGGGAAGAGTGGAGGGAGGAGAAACTGTGGTTGGGATGTATTGGATGGATCTGTTTTCAATAAAAAGAAGAAAAGTTTTTAAAGGTTGGGATAGAAAGATAACTCAATTAAGAGCACTGGCTGCTCTTCCAGAGGACCCAGATTCAATCCTCAGCACCCTCATGGCAGCTGTCAACCATTAGTAATTCCAGTTATAGGGGTTCTAAAGCCTTCTTCTTGCCTCCTTGGGCACCAGGCACACATATGGTATACAAACTTCCATGCTGTTAGAACACCCATACACAAAAGATGAAAATCTGAACAAGGCTATCTTTAGTTGGTAAAGTAAGTCTTGCCTTGGGCCAGAGTGGTAGCCATGACACCAGTGATGGATGTGACATCTTATTAGGAGTTAGAACATAGAAAAGCCTTTAAGGCTGTCAGGCCTAGCATAGGCAGCAATCAGTTAATATCTTTGGTATTTGAGGTTCTGAACTGTCATGCTGGACTCAATAGTGAGATGGTACTTGTTTTTGTACCTAACCCAACTGGACCAAGTTCCTCATGGTACTCAAATGGTTTGACCTTTAAGTGTATTTATTTTTGTCAGTTCACACATGTTTTAAAAAAAAAAAAGAAAGGCGGTCATAGTGTATTACAAATAATAAAAACCCAGAGACAGATATTGGAGTTCAACCCAAAGATCAGAAAAGTGAAGCAGCCAGCCAATAGCTTTTAACTCTACGGCAGACCGAAAATGAGTGATCCTGCTTCCATGAAGCCTCAGATTGAGACTGAGAGTGAGACCTGTCTCCCCCTGTCTTATATTCCCCTCTAGTGCTGGGATTCTTTAAGGCCTCTATGGCTAACTAGTGTGGCTGCTGGGATTGAAGGTGTGTGTGACTATTGCTTGGCCTGTATGGCTGACTGGTGTAGCTGCTTTGCACTGATCTTCAGGCAAGCTTTATTTATTAAAACACAAATAATATGCCACTATATCATAAGCCAGAATTTTTCCTATATTTCTAGAATTTAATATGTTGTTAATTGTTAAATCATAAGATAAGGTGAATGTGTGTGCACATGCTCATGCTTGCACACACAAGCATGCATATTATGGGTTGGACAGTGAGGAACATTTTAAGTGTTTTGTTTCATTCATTCTCCTCTGGGGTGGATACTGTTTTCCTCATTTTATGGATAAGGGCACTGACTATAGAGAGATTAATTAGCTTATCCGAGATATTGTGGCTGGTAAGTCATGGAGCAAGGCAGAATTGTACCAGAACCTAAGCCCAGGAATCAGATCTTGGCTCCATTACTGTGGCAGATGGTTATCTGAAAAAAATAAA